AGCAGAGAGGCCGGGGAGCCGCTCCGGCCTGCCCCGCGTTTCTGCAGGACCAGCAGTGCTTGACCCCGGCCTCCTCCATATGTTTCTCTTGCGATGCAGCTGTGAGAGTTGCTGACGAAGAGGGTTTTCCTGCACTGCATTGCAGAGCCCTGGGATGGGGTGCAGGGTTGTGGCCGGGTTGTAAACTCTGCTTTTAATTGCTGCACGTTCACTGAAATGGGAGCAGGCGGATTTAACCTTCTGCATTGCAACAGCACTGGGAGCCGGTGCCAAAATTCGATGCCTGATGCTGAAGTGCTGGCCAGCCCCACAGTTGGAGGCCCCAGGTTTAACTTTTGGTGCCTTTGGCAACCTGGCAGCTCTGTTGGTGATCGTAAGGGAAAGCCTTGCCATGTGCTGCAGCCGGATTCGGTTTTATCTCACGTGCCCAAATGCTCCAGTTATGGGGATGGTGCTTCCGTGGCAGGTGGTGGGGGCTCCTGTTGGAGCCTTGCGTGGACACGGGGGGATTCAGCCCTGCGGCTGAGCATCTGCTCCCCAGCTTTGGAGCGATTGCTCTGCTTTCTTTGCAAAGGTTCCCTTTTGAGCTCACGGGACGGCTGCTCTGGAGATGTGGGTGCTGACAATGTCCTTCCTGCTCCGCTCCAGGGTGTAAAGCATGGAGATGTTTCTCCCTAGATGCTGTTTTTTTCAGAAGCTGCAGAACTGGCTGCACTTAACGACGCTGCCAGTCCAGAGCTGCTGAAATGGTCTGTGCATCCAGGAGTGCAAAAGCAAGGGAGATGGCGGGCAACAGGAGCAGCTAACGAAGGGCTTCTGCTGCCTGCCTGTGCTTGAAGACCTTGCTCAGCTGCTTCTCAGCCCAGCCAACCCCGAGCATCTTCCCTAGGTGCCTGCAGCATCGCGGCCACCGGGATGCTGAGGTCCAGCAGTGCCATCCCACGGGGCTGCGCTCCTTGTGCCCTCCCGCGGGGCTGCGCTCCTTGTGCCCTCCCGCGGGGCTGCGCTCCTTGTGCCGTCCCGTGGGGCTGCGCTCCTTGTGCCCTCCTGCGGGGCTGCGCTCCTTGTGCCCTCCCGCGGGGCTGCGCTCCTTGACTGGGCCTCTCTCACGGCTCACGTCCGCTCTCCTCTTCAGACACTGATTCAAACAGACTTTGCTGGTGCTGCCCTGCTCTCAAGAGCCTCCTTGCCTGGCGACCCGTTAAATCAGGCCTCCTGTGGCGGTCGGGTTGGGCAGTTGCTTTGTGTCTTTGCTGAAAGAGCCAGTCAATCCTAGGGGTTAATTTATTCCTTTGTGATACTGCTGCAAGTGGTTGGGTTGTTTCATTAACCCCATCCTGACTTGCCCCATGTAAATGGGGCCTGGCACGATGCTTAAGGAGCTTCCCTGCCCATGTCCCCAAAGCTGTGGTTGTCCTCACTGTCCCCTTATGCCTGTGCTTAACAATCTGTTTTTGCAGTTGGACCTTTTGCCACCCTGTGCAGAACCAGTGTGGGCTGAATCCATCCTGGTACAGGTGATGTGGAGGTACCATCAGCTGAGCTGTTCCCTGGAAAGGTGACCTGGGAATGGGTTAGGGCTGACTGCTATTTATCCTGCTCTTTTCCAGGTCAGAGTGGTTTGGGGAAATCCACATTAATCAACACGCTCTTTAAATCCAAAATCAGCCGGAAATCTGTACAGCCAACTTCGGCAGAGCGGATCCCCAAGACCATTGAAATAAAATCCATCACTCATGGTGAGTCTCTGTAGATCCTGCTTGGTGGTATTTGGTCCTTCTGTGCCTTGTCTCTCTAGAGGCTTTCTGGGATTGGAAACTTCCACTCTTGTAATTTGTCTGAAGGGACTTCCATCATCCACAAGTGCTTACTGGGCCAAGCAAACTCATTACCTTAGCGCTGTGTTCACTAGTGTTCATTTAATTATGATGGAAGAGGCCAACTGAGGTGGTCATGGGGGTTGTGCTTCAGGGCAGATGTGAGATTGGATCCGTCATCTGGTTTCGGGCGGACAGGCTTGGCCCGAGTGTCTGTCAGCTCTTGCCTCATGAAGCTGCTGCCTGCTTCTGTGTTTCAGAGATTGAAGAGAAGGGAGTTCGCATGAAGCTGACAGTCATTGACACCCCGGGCTTTGGAGACCACATCAACAATGAGAACTGGTGAGAAGGCTGAGCAGGAGGTCTGGGGGCTTTGATTTGGGCTGCGAGGACACACCATCCCTCTCCGTGTTGGAGAGACACAGAGTGCTGTTAAGCCAGAGCACGCTAGGCTCGTCTTCTGGGCTGCTTGTGTGGAGAAGGCGAGAGAGGTTGGTGTGGGTGGCATAAAGAGGGGTGGGAGACAGCCAGGTCTCCCCAGGACACTGTTTCCTCCCATGCAGCCTGTCACCTCAGAGACAGCACCATGTCACGCTCTACAGCGCTCTCCGCAGAGCCCTGCAAGAGCCCTGCTAGAGTCCACAAACGTCCTGCTGTTTCTGTCATGAGACAACCTTTGTTTTCTGCTTGGATCAGCTGCCGCGCTGGGATGACCGGTCCCATGACCTTGTTCACAGGTCCTAAAGGCCAAATTCTGCAATAAGTCTCTGGGACAGCAGAGTTCTCCGTGTGTAATGTATTCCTGCAATAAAGCAGGGCTGTCCTCTGCAAGACTGCCCACAGTTGGGTCGCTCACATGGACGTGACCACGCGTGCGTGTGCTTCTGCTGCTGGGGAGCTCTTTTTGTACCCGGTACACCATCACATCCCCTGTCCCTTTCCCTGTAGCTGGGTTCTTCAGAAACCCCTAGATCCTGTCATCACACACTAGACACACTAGGGAGAGGAAAAATCCTGCTTTTAGGCAGCCCAGTCCTGGAGCAGAGAAGGGAGGAATTTCTAGGCACTTGTTCTTTAAAGGACACAGTAAACAAGATCCAGTACTCCCACGGTTTAAGGAGTGTGAGGAGCTGCCAAGTGGTGGACACGTGAGGTTTGTGATTCCTACTTCCTGCAGTTGCTGTATGAATGGGACCTGATAGCAACTAAAATGTTCTGTGTGTGTGCGTTTGGGTGTTGTTGTTTCTGTTTTTCCTGGGGATTCTGTAATATACTTCACTTCTAAGGACTCCGCTTTGCAGAACAGTTAAGGGGGGTCCAGATCTCTCATGTAAAACCCCCGTCATGTGTTTATGTCTCTCTAGCTGGCAGCCCATCATGAAGTTCATCAATGACCAGTATGAGAAGTATCTGCAGGAGGAAATCAACATTAACCGGAAGAAGCGGATCCCGGACACCAGGGTGCACTGCTGTATATACTTCATCCCAGCCACTGGCCACTCGTACGTACCCTCTCTCTTCGGGGCGCGTCTGCCCTCCAGGTCGGGCCTGGGGACCCGTCTCCGCTCAAATTCTGTGTGCTTCACTGTCCTGCTTGTGGTCTCACCTAAATTAGCTGCTCTGAATCGTCCTTCATTGGAGATATATTCACCTGCCTCTCTGTAGAGACTTGAAGGAGCTCAGGTCCTTCACAACACCCTGCCTGAAGGGCATAAGGTCTGGTGATGTCTTGTGTGCCCCTGTGGATCATCAGGAGCAGCATGGTAGCTGGGCATGCCGTCCCCAGCAAATAGTACATGTGAAACCTGCTGTCCCTAAAGCCATAGCCAGCTTCCTTCTGCATCTAGGGTCTTTGTAAGACCATGACAAAGCTGCCTTAGCCAGGCAGAAGTCGGTATTTTCCCTTCTCTGGAAGGACTTCTAAATAAGCCTCCCTCACTTGGCTGACAAAAGCAAAGCAAGCAACCGAGTCTCTCACTTGGCCAATGGACTTCAGTCAGTGAGTTCTGGAATCCGATGGGAAGGTTTCCTTTGCAGATGGGAAAATGTTTTTTTGCCTATGATGCTGCCATTGTAGGGGAAGAAGCCAGTTGCCCTCGGGCTATTATACAGAGCAAGCGAACACCCAAGCCCTTTAGGAGTATTTGGTAGATTTTGATCAGTGTGCGAGTGAGATGCAGTTTATACCATGCAGAGATTTGTTGGCTCTGGCGCTTCTCACATGACTCACATGACAGCATCAAAGAGCCAGAAGATTTTTTTGTGTGTGTGTCTTGACTTGACTTGTAGCCCTCAGTGAGTATCTTGGGCACATAAAATATCTTTGAAAATCTGACTTGAAGTATCATAGCATAAAATGAGACCCGAGTTTCCTTTTGATTTGTGTCAGTTCCTTCCACTTCTGGCTTTGGCTGCATGGGGATTTCTTTGTCTGTTTTTAAAAGTAAATTTAAACTGCCAGAACTGTATTAAGTTCAGCTTTTTTTTTTCCCTCTTCCCTGTGTAGAACTTTATTCCAAAAGAAAAGAATTTATTTTGCTTGTGTCAGTGGGTAGACCAAAAATGCATTCCTCACTGGAATAAGATGACTGCATGGGTCAGTTATGCCGTGCTTGTGTAACAAGCAAAGCTTACTTGTGTGGATGAGGCTTTACAGTCTCTCGGAGGAGAGAGCAGGATGCTCAGAGCATCTTGTATCCAGTAGAGCAGGTAAATGGATCTACAAGGCCCTCAGACTTTCCCATAGGGGCATGGCTTTATGTTTACACCCTGGCCGGTGTCTGTTTATGGCCTTTAATCGCCATGGGATGTTCTGCCATGAGATAAGCTGATAAAGTAGAACACTTTCAAAAGGGCGACGATGTTTTTAGACTGTTTGGCATGTTGGTCCTGCTCATCTATGAGGCCTGTGTCTACCAACCGTGCCATGGTGGGTCTGGGGCATTGCAGCACCCGCCACGCTCCAGCTTTCTGCACATCCCTCCAGGCACTTAATACTAGCAATGGGATGTTCTGCCATGAGATAAGCTGATAAAGTAGAACACTTTCAAAAGGGCGACGATGTTTTTAGACTGTTTGGCATGTTGGTCCTGCTCATCTATGAGGCCTGTGTCTACCAACCGTGCCATGGTGGGTCTGGGGCATTGCAGCACCCGCCACGCTCCAGCTTTCTGCACATCCCTCCAGGCACTTAATACTAGCAAGCAGCACCGTCATGTGCAGCACCGTCATGTGCAGCACCGTCATGTGCAGCACCCTCATGTGCGGGCGGCTCTTGGTCCCTGCGGGTCCCGGCCGGGGCGGGCAGCCGCTCGCGGACACTGAGGCAGCGCAGGGCTCCGCTCCCTGGGAAACCCAGCTCTGCCCCGGCCCTCGCTGCATGTGTGGCCGTCACGTGTGTGGGGAGGCCCCGGCTGGCCCCGTCCCCTGCCCGCGCCTCTCGAGCGCTGCATTCTGGTTTCTCTCACCCACCGGCTCTCTGGCGTGGAAGTTCAGCTGCTTTTTTTCCTTCTCTCCAAAGAACATGTGTTTCCAATAGGAGAGCCGTCAGAGGGACGTTGCTGTGCGCGGTCAGGCCCTCGCGCGGAGCCGCACACGCTGCCGGGGGCTGCCCCCCGCGCTGCTCCCAGGGCTGCCCTTTCCTGTCCATGTGTCAGTGTGCACATCTGGTTCCTGAGTTCCCTCTCACAGCCGGGTTAGAGATAACCTGAAGGACATTAGCTTTTAGGGAAGCTGGGGAGCCCGGGTAGGGTGGAAAAACTGGTGGGAAATGTTGTTTCTCTGAGCGCTCAAGCAAGTGCTGGGACTTCCCTGCCCTCTTGCAAAGTGGGCAGTGTTTCTCGTCACCCTGGACATGCTTTCTCAAGTGCTGTCCTTGGTCCCTGGATGTGAACGAAACACCTGCTCTGCTCTTACTGCAGCGGGGATGCATCCTTTGGGAGAGCAGGGGCTTGGGAGACAGTTTCACAGGGGAAGGCCATGGTGTTTAATGCAGACTTCGTGCCTCTGCGGGTGCCATCAGTTGTCCCTTGCAAAAGGGTGAAGAGAAGGGAGCAGAGGTCCTTAATCCAGTGCTTCTCCATGAGTTAGTGGGGAATATGTTTGGAAAGGGCGCTCTAAGGTACATGGTGCCCTAAGGACCTTTACTAGGGGCAAGCTCACCAAGCCAGGCTGAGCTGAGGGTCCTGCAGGGGCCCAGTGACACCCATCCATGTGCTGGCCTTTTGCCTTGCGTTGGTCCCCACTGCTGGCTGCATTCAGCACCTGGTACAGACACAACCCCTGTTGTCACCAAAAATCACTCGAGCTCGGAGCAGCTGTGCAGCGACGGGAGGCAGCAGTGCCGTGCAGCCCAGGACACTGCTGCACTGCCCTCAATCAGGGGAGCTTTCTGCTTTCCCCGAGGGCTGCGCAGCCCCGTTTCGGGCAGGCCATGGTGTCATCACGCGGCTGAAGGGTTTGTCAGTTGGGAAGTTTCCTGTCGCACGTGCTGTCCTCCTTGTAACCCCGCTGTAACACCGTGTTTGCAGAGGCTAAGTACCGTGCTGGCAGGGGCTCCTGCTGCAGCAGCAAAGCCCTTGCTTTTTGAGCTGGGAAGTTTCCTGTCGCACGTGCTGTCCTCCTTGTAACCCCGCTGTAACACCGTGTTTGCAGAGGCTAAGTACCGTGCTGGCAGGGGCTCCTGCTGCAGCAGCAAAGACCTTGCTTTTTGCTTCCCAATAAACTCCAGCGCAGCGACCCCCGTGACCCAGCTCTGAAATCCTGCCCTATCTTCCTTGGCAGCCCCATTTTCTGGGCATACCAGCACTGTTCTTGACATCCTGATGCCCCTCTGGTCCTTTTGCTGTCCCCCAGCAAAGCCCGCGGGGCTGCAGCCGGGAGGGTGGCTCCCCGCCTGGCTCGTGGCCCCGCAGCGCTGCTGCCAGCCAGGGCCGTGCAGCAGAGTGACAGCTCCCAGAGCTGGGCTTGGGTGGCTGCAGGATGCTCGCTGGTATTTGCTTAATGCAGGGCTCAAATTCTTGCTGCTAGCTGGATCTGGGATTCAACCAGAAGGAAATAACTTCTAAGCTTGCAGTGTTTTTTTTGTTCCTATAACGGTATTTCAAGGGAGCCAGCAGGCATGAGCCTCTGTTCAGATACTCTCCGTGCTGTGGTTATGTGGAAATAACATGGGCCAACCCAGGCTGGATTCCCCAGCCCCTGAGCAAGAGGGGACGGGGAGCACCTGGCACCAGCTTGGACGGGCTGGAGCTCTTGCTGCCCTCAGCAGCTCATCCTGTCTCCTTAGGGGTTCCTCAACCCCTAGCAAGTGTTTAAAAGGGAGCTTAGCAAAGGCAGAATACCTAGAAATGTGTAAAATAGTCAGTCTGAGTCTGAGTACAGTTTACTCCTTGGTAGAGTCCTTTGCTTCCCTTCCTGTTTGCCAGGACTGTGCAGGTTTTCCTCGAGGAGAGCGATACTGCTCGAGAGAGCGGTCGGGGCTCAGCACGCGGGTCCCAGTGCCAGCCCCTTCGCGCATCTGTGGGTCGTGTTCCCCCTGAAAGCTGAGGAAGCCAAGTCAGGGACGGGCAGTTCTTCAAGGTGCACAGCAAGACCTGAGCCTCACGCAGTGACCCCCAAGCTCAGCATCCTGCGTCGGCCCCGCTGCCTCCAGCGCTGCCCGCAGACTTTGGAGGAGAACGGATGGCCTGAGTGTTACACTAGCTGGAGTAAGGCTTCCCCACCGCGGTATAAAGCACATGCAGGAGAAAAGGCTTTTTGCTTAGATTGCTGGGAATTGTTTTTCAAGTAATTTGGCTGGGGCTGCTGATTTTTGCTCTGAAATATCCTGAGGACCTGTCTGTTGCTGCCACCCGCTTACTGGCTTGCTAGTGCAGCAATGCCTGGTTTTCTCTTGTCGCCTTGCTGCTGTTAGTGCAGGCTGTGTCCTGGGAACAGTTTTCTAGTACTTCTTCATCACCTTCAGACCTCATTGGCAGCTCTACTTGCCCGAGTGCCTTTTTCTCAAGAGATGCTGAGGTTACCCGTGTTGGTGCTGTGCTTCCAGAGCACCAGGGAGGTGGTGGATGCTGTGGACATGGAGCTGCAGGCTGGCTATGGCTTTGCACGCTGCCGTCACCCTTGCATGGAGCCTCTGGCCTCCTCCAGGTATCGCTAAGGGCTTGGTAACGGGGTTCTTGGACAGCAGCCCGAGCCAAAATGCCAATGCCTGGTGGATCGTGAATCCATCTGCATGGGCCACCTCCGCGTCCTGGTCTTCATTTTAAAAGAAAAGCTGATGAAAGAGTCAGGAACACGGTCTCAGTAGGGAAGAAGCTTTTAAAGGGGAAAAAAATGTTTGAAAATAGCAAAGAGAAAAGGAGGGGAAAGAAATCTGCTGGGAAAGGAATATAAGTGCATTGCTTCCTTGGAGGTCTGGGAAATACATTATGCAGCGCTCCAAACAATGTTTGCCAGCAGCAGTCTGCTTAGATGTGTCCGCGGGGGTTTCCTTGTGTGCTTTATTCCCTTTATTTATTTATATATTTATTTAAATAGCCAAAATGTTTTGTTCCTGGAGCCGTGGGCGATCGGCGACTCCCGTGTTCGTGTTGGTGACTCGTTTGTCCTCGTGCTGGGTGAGCTGCTTGCGCGGCTCCCCGGCAGCTCCGGGAGGAGGGTCCGTGCGGGCCGGCGGGCACGGAGCCAGCCCCATGCCTGAGCGGGGAGGGGACAGGAGCAGGGAAGGACGCGGATGCGTCGTGGCCGCGCTCCGCCTCGGAGCAGCCCGGAGATGCCCAGTGGGATGAGGCTGAGCCGCTCGGCACGGCCCCTGTCCCACGGGCAGCCCTGCACCTGACTCTACCTGAGCATTTTAATTCTTCAGCCCGATTATAGCCTCTCTCATCCCATTTATATCCTAGTTCTTCCTTGGTTACACAGGCTTCTGTTTTGCAAATGGGGCTGACCTAGATTTGGGGTAGTCTGTTCCTTGGCCCTAGCTCTGCAATTTCAGTTTATAGCTCTGAAAAGTGACTTTCCTCTCTCTGCCCTAGTTCCCCAAGGATAAATCGGGTTGTGTCCTGCTGGCACCCCTTGCCAGCTGTGTTGTGGGCTGCTAAAACTGACAGCCTCCACTTGGGACCTCGGTGTTTCCCTTTTTAGGCTGGCGCTGGTTCAGCTCGCTGCCTGGGAACGTGTCCCTTGTCACCCCGGGAGCCGCCGTGCGGGGACTGCAGCACGTGCAAAGCATCCCCAGGCAGGCGGCCGTCTCGCTAGCTCGGGAACCACCAGCAATAAAAAGACTTTTGGGAAGGACTGAGGGCTGAGTACCAAGGTAGGGTCACGGGCAGCCCCCCTGAGCCTTCGTGGCTGCGAGTCGCTGGATTGCAGCCCGGAGGGGCAGCAAGGAGAGTGGCACTGGAAGTCATGCACATGCTGTCAGCAGGAGCGTTTAACGGGGAAGCGTTTCCGGAGCCGCTGATTACTCGGGTTATGCAATCTCTGTAGCTGTGGTCTGCTGAGACTTTCGTTGTAGAAATTTCCTGACTCTTTTCGCCCTCTGGAACGAGCGGAGTCTCTTTGTGCCATGTGATCAGCTTGAGAATTAACAGAGCCTCTTTGAAGCTGAACCAGCAGATAGGAGGTGAAATCCTGGCTTGTGCATGGCAGCAGGTTGGTGCTCGGTATGGGAACCTGCTGGACCAGCAACGGCGACCTGTAGCCGGGTTGTGCCCGTCCAGCATGTCCCCAGGTGGTGTGTGCCTGCGCAGGGCCCCCAGCACGAGTCTGGAGAACACTTGGCACCATGGTCGCTCTTCTGCTTCTTGATCCAGGCCGTGTCGTGGGCGGCCCTGAAGCCGCTGATGCCCAAGCTCTGCTCCCTGCTCTGCCCAGGGCTCGCGTAGCCCTGGGCAAGGTCCTGCCATCGTCGGTGGACGAGCATCTGTTCAGACATAAAAACTCTCTCCCGCTTCATGGGGGTTTGCAGTGCTGAATCCATCCAGGTGCAGCATGTGGCCTTGAAACGAGAGCACGGAGCGTTTTACATGGGTGTCCGCAAGCCGCCTGTGCAAGGCAGGCGTGTGCAGCCGTACTTTTAGGAAAACGTCTTTGCTTTGGCTCCCTGAAAGAAAACGATTCCACGTCTGCGTGTAGCCTCTGAACATCCTCTCTCTGCCGAGGGATGGCAGGTCCCGATGGGCCGCGCACGATTCCCTTTCCCCTCTGTGCTCCACAGGCTCCGGCCGCTGGACATCGAGTTCATGAAGCGCCTCAGCAAGGTGGTCAACATCGTCCCGGTGATCGCGAAAGCCGACACGCTAACGCTGGAGGAGAGGGACTACTTCAAGCAAAGGGTAAGGGCCGCGCGTCCCCCAGCCCCGCTCTCCCCCTGCCTCCGCCCCGCAGCTCCGCGGAGCCGAGCGCCTGGCCGGGCGCCCGGCGCATTCCTCCGGCTGCAGCTCTGAGTGATCCCATGTGGCAGCAGGAAGGGCCCTCGCTCCAAGCAGTTCCTTGTGTTTCTCTTGGATCGCTGTCAGTGCAGGATGAATTTTGCACTCTTAGTCTTGGGGCCTGTTCCTGCTGCCTCTCTTATTGTTGTTGTGGTGCTTATGTTGAGGCTGGTTTTTATTAGTGGGGAAGGCGGAGGGTGTTGCACGGAGAGCCTGGAAAACCCTTCTTTACACCAATACAGTAAGCAGGCAAAGATGTGTGTGTTTGCTGAGCTCGGCTGGGCAAGAGTTCTGGGAAAAGCCGTGAAACTCCCCTGATCCCCAGATCAGGCAGATTCCCAGCTCTGCAGCAAGGCCCGTGGTCCCCTGCACACATTCGTGCCTGGCGCTGCTGAGGTGCAGCGATGCTTTGCCCTGGGTTTGGGCGAGAACTGCGAACGCGTTACCGTAACTGATGATGTGGCTGCAGGCACGATGGCCTCAGCGCTTACTGCAAAAACAAGCAAGGCTCCAAAAGCCTCTTGGCTTGTTGTTCTGAGAGTCTGAATTGCATTTTTGAGCATGAATAGGCTGAGTTTTGCTGGTGTCCATCACTCAACCAGCTCTCCCTATGTATCCCCATGCAGTGCAATGAGTCCTGAAGATTGCTAGGACCACGGTTCTCTAGCCCAATCCTGAGCTGCAGAGCCCTAACAGGAGCAGGCAGGTGCCCGTGTGCAGCTAATGGCCCTGAGCAGGACAGGGTTAACTCGAGCAGGCTCCATTTCTTGGTGTGCGAGACAGTAAAGGAAGATAAGCCTGTGCTGGGCCTCCTGCTCTCTGACGTCCTGGACTCGGCTGTCCCTTTGCGCTCTCGGAGGTCAGGAATTTGCTTCCTGCACATCCCTGCTTCGAGCAGAGATGTGGAGCAAGGGGAAAGGGTGGAGGGGGCTCTGCCAAAAGGGCATTTGAAGGGGACACCTTTGGTGGGGATGCACAGTGCCAGCATCTGGAGGGAACGTTATTCAGTGCATCTGTAGAGAAGAGCCATGAGCCTTCCCTTGCGAGGGGGAACCATGGTGGGCTTGAGCTCATTTTACTGTCTTCCCTCTTCCCTTTTTATGAAGAGCAGGGTCTTGAACTGAAATATCCAGTCTGGTTTTGAGGGCTGTCCCAAATCTGCAAGTGGTTCCCTCCACAGTGAGCTAAGGGATTCCTGGAAATGGAGCCGAGCCTTAATCCAGACTGGGCTTGACAAGCATGTCGGCCTGCTCACGGAGAGCAGTGCGAGGAGCTGCTGCCAGAGGAGGGGGGAAGGAGGGCTGAAGAGGTGCGAGAGGTGTCAGGCCAAGGCGCCGCCGGCTCTGCAATGGCTTTTCCAGACTGCTTGCTCCGTGCACAGGCCGTGCGTTTGCATGAAGACCGGTGTGTCTGTCAGCCTGCCTGGAACCCCAGAGTCAGTCTGGAATCTAAAACTCCATCTGGGCACGCTCTGCCTCTGATATCATCTGTGTAATAGAAGACGGTGCTGTGGGAATGGTGCTGACAGCGTTGCTGATGCTGTGGGAGATCCATCTGGCTCGGCAGCCACGCGGTTAAATGTTCCTGGTTAAAGCAGCAAAAGCAGGACCCAGAGCAGTGCCCTCTGCTCTTCTGGGCCTGCCACTGGGTGCAGGCGGTGAAGAAGAGCAGCCTGTGACACAGGGAGTAGGCAGGGTGGCCTTCCCCATCTCTAGATACGTCACGGATTGTAAACAGACCACTGGAATCCTCCTCAGGTGGAGGGGGAGCGCAGCCGTCCTGGCCTGTGGGCTGTGTCCATGCTGCAAGGGGCTCATCCTTGGTAAACTCAGCTCCCGATCAACTCCTGGTGCAAAGCAGAAAGCAAATAATCAATGCAGTTTTACACCAGCTAAGATCTGGGTTGGATTTTAGCATGGTTCCAGTGTGCATGCGTGCACACTTCCAATAGGCCTTGCCTGCATTTGGTGGGGAGAGTTAGTTAGATGGTGTGTTTAACTTCTGGGTTTTTATCGAGCTGGATAAGTCATACTGGAGCATTAATCTGCCTGTTTGCTGCCTTGGGTTCTTCCTGGCCAATGCCAACATTGCACATGGAATCCTGTGCCCTGTGGAGTTGGCTTGTGCTGCGTTGTTCCCTTAAAGTAGTATGTGAGCTTAGTATGGGGTGAGGGGTCTGGCGCGGGGGGTTTCTTTGGCATGGATACATCTCCTTTTCCACCTGGGAATGTAGAGCCTATGTGGCTCACTGCCCTAGGAAGCGATAGGAGCTGGCGCTCGGGTGCGGATTCAGGCTTGGCCCTTCCTTTGGGAAGGACGTGTTTCTGGTGCTGCCCTCGCCAAGTCTCCACCCAGGAGCTAAATTTCAGCGTGATGCATTTTCCCCTATCCCTGGTTCCCGTTTCCACAGAGGTGATATCCTTAGAGCTGGCTCTGAGCTGTCTGTGTGCTTGTCCCCTCTTGGACCATGCTCTGCTGTGACTTCTGAGGAACATAAATGAACACTGGAAAGCAGCTTATTAATTTTGCGTCCAGCACCACATGCCTGGCAGCTAATTCCCTATTGTTTAGTGCAACTTTTAACTTCCTATTGTTTTCTCAATGCAAAAGCAGAGCCCAGTTCTCGTAACATCTCGCTCTGCAAGACCCTCTCCTCATTCCCTTGGTATAAAGTTCTCCTAGAACTTCTAGGGCAAGCACTCGATAGGTGGCTACTAGTTGAACGTGGCTCTCTATCCTCCAGGTGGGCACTGTCAAGGAAGGAAAGGGACAATATTATTGCTTGGCTCTCCAGCCTCCTAGTAGTGCATGGAGCCTGACAGGCTGGTTCCTACATCCTCATGGGTTCGCAGGGGCAGCCGCTGTACCGGGGTGCTGCTGCTCTGCTGTTCCTCCCTCCTGCACATCTCATTCATGTGGTTCTCTGCCCTTCCTCTCCTAGATCATGGCCGATCTTCTTGCCAATGGGATTGACGTGTATCCTCAGAAGGAATTTGATGAAGACTCTGAAGATCGGCTAGTAAATGAGAAATTCAGGGTTAGTGTGTGGTGCTGTGGCTTGGGTGTGTTTGGATGGGAGGCCTGCAGCTCCTGATAATCTGTGACGTTTTGGGGGCCTCTTGGAAAGTACCTGTATTTTCTTTCTGAAGGTTCTGTCCCCCATTCCTGCCTGACAGAGGATGGGGCTGGAGATCAGAGTGACTTGTTGTGCTTGGACAGGCTTTAATCTGGTCTTACATTCACATGAGAGCTTAAAATATTGAAGCACAACAGGCTTTAAGGAGAGAAGTAGACAGGGGTGAGGCACCTGTACTGACGCCCAGTGGAGAAGGCCAAGGGTGCAAAGTGGGGCAGATAGCACACAGGGGCTAACAGCCACCTTCTGTTAGAGCCCCGTGCTCCTAGTGCCTGATCGGGTCTCATTTGAAGGCTTCTTGGAGCTAGGAGCAATCACTAAGGGGAAATTGGAAGTGGTAGATGCGACATTGCTCAAGAGCCTCAGACATTGACTGTATCATCCCATGAAACTCTCTGGAAAACCACTTGAGACGTAGGAGGCTGGGCCCGGAGCTTGGTGGGAGCAGGATCCATTGAGTCCTTGCTCTAGCAGCTGTCTAGAGGCTGCCTCACATGAGGCTTCACTCACCATCTTGGTTTCCTCACTGTTTTTCAGGAGGAAAAAGTAACTTGTGCCTTTTCTTTGCTCAGGAAATGATCCCATTTGCAGTGGTGGGTAGTGACCAGGAGTACCAGGTTAACGGAAGAAGAATCCTTGGAAGGAAGACCAAGTGGGGCACCATTGAAGGTATCTTATCCTTGTTCTCCTATCTCCTGAACCTGTTTCCCTGCCCTGACCGAAGCTGAGGAGACCCAAAACTAATGTGCACACTGCTTCCCTGGCCCTCTAGAGAAAATTAATTCCCCTGTTGTGAGGGACTTGAAACGATTTGGCCAGCACCACTGCTGCTGCAGTGAGTTTCTGAGCCTTCGTGCAGTGCTGGGGTGGCTGCTGAGTGAGAGCACGGTGCTTTTGTTTCTCATCTCTGCTTTCTTTCTGGCCTTCTGCTTTGATGTTTCCATCGCATGGCTTGTCACACAATTAAATGCCTGATGACTGGATTTGAGTGCAGATGAATTCAGTGGTGGTCTTTGTCTCAGGGCCAGAGCAGAGCCTTTCTCTGACATCCACAGTTCTCGGCACTTTGCACCATGCCCTTGACCTTGTGGAGCCTATTCCCTTCTCATCACATTAACATCTTCCTTTTTCTTCCCCCCATTTTAAATCACAGTTTAATGGCTAGAGGAAGGTTCATAGCTCTAGTTCCATCAACACATTTTCCCCCATCCCTGACCTCCAGTAACCTGCAGAGACATCTTCAGCATCATCCTTCTATCTTCTTCCCTTTTGTTTCTTATAGATTTCTCTCTTTTATGTCTCTTTATAGGAATCCTGTTTTCAGTGAGTGTCTAATAAAGATACCAGGAAAAATCTATGTATTTTAAAGCTCTGCTGCCCTCTTGTGATCTGTCCTTGGAAGCTCCGAGTTTGTTGGGTTTTGGTGTAGCTTAAGAAAAGCCACTCACCTTTAAAGGAGCGTGTGGCCTCTTGAGCACCAGGAGACCCACAGCCCCAGCAGTGGTCACTGGCAGCCTTTGCTAAATAGTGTTTTTTTTGTCGTGTTATTTTTGCGTTATGTTCAAGACAACACACAAGGGAGTTGAGTCTCTAAGTGCAAATGCCTGAAGAACTGAGAGTTGTGTTACTGATGGTGCTAGAGCAAGGCCCTTTGCTTCCCCGCCACCCTCTTGCAAACAGTCTTCTCCTCCCGAGCCCCGCTGAGAGCAGTCACGTTTCTGTCAGCGGGAGATCCCGATATTCCTCTGCAGCAGGCAGCGTGGGGAAGCAGAGCCAGAGACACGCTCCGGTTGTCAAAGGATGTTCATGGTGAAGCTAAAAATGAAACCGCTTTTGAGTAATGCCTGCTGAAGATCTCACCTTCCTCTTTTCCTTCAAATCTCTCTGGAAATAGTTCACTGTTTCTGCTTGCCTTGGTGACCACGCTGTAGATAGGGGATGCTGCAGAGAGCTCCCTTGTTTGGAGGACAGCAGAAATGTGACTCGTGTCCCCTGATCGTGCCACTCCCCGGAGGGCTCTTCCTACCCTGTGCTCGTGCTGCGCTCGTGCCGTGCTGTGCACGCTGTGTGCTCATGGCTTTCTCTCTCTTCCCCACCAGTGGAGAACACGACACACTGTGAGTTCGCCTACCTGCGGGACCTCCTCATCAGGTTGGTGGCACTGCCCCTGTGACCGCGGAACCTTTGGGCTCCAGGTGGCATCCAGACAAAGGCGAGAGCCCAGCCTGAAGTGGGTGGTTGCTTCACTGTCCCTCCATGATGGCAGGAGCCCCCGTGCAAGCCCTGTTCAAGAGGACTTGTCTTGGCTGTGCTGCTGAGCAAGGGAGGCTCTTAGGCAGCAAGAGCTCCTCCTGCCCCAAACACAAGAGGCTGTTGGTGCTGGTGAAAGCTTCCGTGATTGCTTCTGCTTCCCTGCTGTGCTCTGGAGGGGAAATTTGGGCTGCCAAGGCGGGTCGCAAGCAGCTGTTGAGGGGTGCAAGGTGCCATTTGGGTTGGAGTAGCAGAGGTGGTGCTGGCTGGACCTCCCCTGTGTGTGCAGGGAGATGTAACTGCCCCGCTGTCTCCTCTTTCCTGCAGGACACACATGCAGAACATAAAGGATATTACCAGCAACATCCACTTTGAAGCCTACAGGGTCAAGAGGCTGAACGAGGGCCAGAGCTCGCTGTCCAACGGGGTGACCGACAAAGAGCTGGTGGCCAACGAAATGTAACCGTCTCGCTCTGTAGCCAGGACCTTACTCGCTCACGCTCGCTATTTTTCCCTTCCTCTTCCCCCCCTTTATTTTTATATAAATCCTCTGCCACTGTCCCTTCTTCTCCAGCCCCCCAGTGCCAATGTTAACTGACCAAATACCCAGGTGCCGCATCTCGTCGGGCCGCGCGCGGCGGCTCCGGTGCC